TGACATTTTTCATCAGAAGTTGAACAAGGGTCTCAACAGGTTGTTTGTTGTTCAACGTCGCACTCAGCAATATTCCAGCAATATTGCGGCATGTTCAACAGAGATTTGTTCTAAATGAAACTAGGTCTTGCATCCTGGGTTTCTGACGCAATTGCATTCAGGTGTTTCAATATATGTGCACTTTGGTTGCTATGTTCTCTTGTCGCCTGTTGTGTGGAACTTTTCGTGTGTCGAACTCATGGTTGTCCCGAATTTAAAGCATCGTCCATGCGTATTCCTTCTTTAGTCACATTTTGCGTTGGTGTTGAAGCTCTGATAACTAGACTTAGTTAACGTCGGTCACTTTAAGCTTGACACAGCGATGTTTGTATGTATTGCAACATTAATAGTCGGTAGATCAACATCTGTTGAGTATTGACATGATATTAGCATTTAATTTCGAAGAAGCATGTATTTAAAACGTGTTATCGTAATTTGCATCTTTCCAGAATTTTTAAGGCTAACATATTATTGTGCTATAAAAAGCCGTAGTTAAACATATGCATTAGAATGTCGTAGCACAAGGAAGGTTTCGTGGATCAGGACCCTGTATTTCAATTATTGATGTGTGTAAGATTTCTTTCCAAATTTAACATTTCATTGCAATATTCATCCCAAAGTATATGACATGTTTATAGGGTTAATGTATTATCCTTCTTACTTTCAAATATAATTACGAAACAATATAGCCCATGGTTCCTAGTATGGTGATCCACCTTCAGTTTTTGGCGATCTATAGCCCGTGTTTTACATTGTATTGTCTTCTTTAATTGGAATGTTTTAGCTTTGATCGCTGGTTTTATATTATATCTGTGATTTTCTAGTATTTTTACAGTCCATCGTCGACAGGTTTTAATCTTCAAAATGTTTTCACTTTTTATTGTATAAATTTTTTTCGTCACGATATGGCCGATGTGACGTTAAATATAAACTCACTCACTCACGAAACAAAAGTCCTTTTTCCTTTATGTTGTCTGCACTTACGTTGTGTGGGGTTATGTCCAGTTCATTTTTATATAGGGCTGTGTATTGGCAAATAAATTGTATTGTAATATATTGCGATACGTATTGCGATATATTGGGAGCTTAAGCGTTTGACAGTAAGTGCCACTAGTTGTGCATGTCGATCCTATTTTCTACATTCCCTAAAGATATATGTTATGGTTCTGATAACAGCAATCTCAAAATTAGGTTGCATAGTCAGAAATTCTATTTTCTTTCTCTATATACAATTTATTTAGTACAGTATTCCGTTTTATCTTTGAATAACGAAAGAAAGCATTTGTTGTGAATGAAAGTATGTGTAGATATTTATTTAAACCATAAAGATAATCACATAAATTCATACACTCGATTTGTGTATTTTCAGAACTATACAAAATGAAGTATTCTTTACAGTGGAGTGCCAATAGAACAAACAGAATTGTCTCTCCCAAATCACAAATAAATTGCGTTCAGGGCACTTCGGACTTGGTGACCTCACAATATAGACACAGTATGCGGAAACGAACGACATAATATCAGTAAAAATAGAGCGACATGATAGTCTGTGATGATTCACCAATGGTAGAGTGGGATTTGCAACCTCAAGGTCATGATGAAGGGCACAATAAACAATCATTCCTTCAAATACAAGCTGCCTCTTAGCCCGTCAGTCGTGAAGCTTTTATAATCAACCAGACAATTACAGGAGGGCTCTCGAATTCCTTGCTGGAAGCCCTGATTTCGATAATCAGAACACAGATAATCAGAATTCGAAAAAGCCTCGAACCAGAGGTGATCTTTGGAATGACTTTGGACGCCTCGCCTGCGGAAAGATGACAGAATTCAACAGACCAATGTATCATGATGCTCAATTCTTTTCTATAGCTACGCCGGGAAAGTTGTATGTATAATTATTTCCAGAATTTTGGAAGTGATTGAGAAGGTGTATACTCTCAGTACAGGCTTGCTTCGTTATTTGATACAAATAATAATAAATTGGGGGAAATTATACGTTGGGACTGTTCTGTTCAATTTCTCTGAAGCGCTCTGATTCGCGGTACAGAGTTGCATACCTTTCCCACACCAGAAAACCCAGATCATAGGTACGAATAAACCTATTATGTGTCCAGGTTTGTCAGCGATCGAGTAGCACCCAAAATGCAAGTTAACGTTAGGGAAATAACGAACTACAAAGGGTATCTAAAGATTAACCCGCGTTTATTAAACCAATTGTTACAATGTTGTAGAAGCCATGTCCCATTATCACAATATTCCAATTCATTCAGGGGCGGTGGGGTAGCCTAGCGGTTAAGACCTGGGTTCGATTCTCCACATGAACACAATGTGTGAAGCACATTTCTGGTGTTCCCTGCCGTGATATTGCTGGAATACTGCTGAAAGCGGCGTAAAACTAAACTCACTTCACTTCATTATCTCCGACAGTCGACGCCATGTGCACAGCAGTCCGGGCAAAGCTGATAGAGAGTGTCATGTCATGCTGCTATCACTTGGCTCCAAACGCTATGCCACAATGCCATCTAGGAATCCTGCAATCTGATTGGTGCTTTATAATATGGAATATATATTAGGACACAAAGTTGATGTGTGTGCTTGATGATTGTATTGGTTTTGCCCTATTGGCATGGTTGAGAAAAGAAAACAGTAGTTTCAATTCAGACGCTTCCATTGTACGTTTGATACCTTTAAATTTTCAAATCAAAACCACACGCAGTGAAAAGTGTAAAAATAGTTTCAATAGTGTCGACTTCACCCGACCACTTACCGACTTAAACTTGTGAATAGTGAAGGTTAAATTGCGTTTGTAACGAAATGAGGTGAGGTCAGGCCAATTTGGGTTTAACGTCGTGCTTGAGAATATTTCGCTCATATGACGACTTGCATGCATGTGTATGTGTATGTGCGGCTGCTTGTACTAACCCAGGCCTAAGCTGGACCTATAGTGCTTGCCCACTGAGATACCACGCCGCAGTGAAGCATGAATACCCCACTCAGACACATTATACTGACTCAGAACCGACCAGTCCTTGATGTACCCATTAATGACGAGCGCTAGGCAGGGACCAACAAGTACCATATTTTAACGTCCTTTGGTATGACGCGGTCGGGAATCGAACCCGCGACCTTCTTCTCTCCGGGCGGACGCTCTAACCACTATACCACGGAGGCGGTCGTTGTAACAAAATGGCGGATATAACGAACTGTTCTTTGTTTCCTCCCATGTCTGCATACCATGACAGCACACTGATGGATATAGCTAACACAGTGTTGAAAATTGGTTTGCTTGACTTGTTTGTTGTTTAACGCTGCACTCAGCAATATTCCAGCTATATGGCGGCGGTCTGTAAATACTCCAGTGATCAACAGCATGAGCATCGATCTACGCATTTGGGATACGATGGCAAGTGTCAACCAAGCATGATCACCCGAACTCGTTAGTCGTCTTTTACGACAAGCATGGGTTGCTGAAGACCGACTCTAACCCGGATGTCTACGGGTTCATCGTTGAAGGAGGTTATAGCCATCTCGCTTTGTGAACCTTCGTATGCTCTGTCCGCGACAATGTAGGTGTTACTTAGGAGCTGATGAGGTCACTAATCCTATTTCTAAAATCGCATGCACTCGTGTTTTGTACAGTTATGTGGAGGCATGGTAGTGACTCGATCACATACGATGAAATGTAATCCAGTGCAATCCAACACAATCCTCCATTAACCACGTATAATTAGGTAGTCATGAGGAAGTTGCACACACATTTCCTGCTTATTCCAAAACGTGAAAGACTTTTTCCTTTCATTAAATCCATAGCTATCAGTTACACTTTTTATCGAATATTTACCTACGCATACAACGTGTGTCCACTTGGTGATTTATCATATAGAATTTTCATAAAAATATTATTTTGTACTAAACATTTGACATCCAACAGCAATTATCATTTGTTAGAATATGTTGAAAAGGAAACAACAAAACTCTTTCCACTGCCGTACGAAATCTGTTCTAAAAGCAGAGGCAATTGTAGAATTCTGTGAGTGAGTGAGTATGATTTTACGCCGCTTTTAGCAATATTCCAGCAATATCACGGCGGGAGACACCAGAAATGGGCTTCACACATTGTACCCATGTGGGGAATCGAACCCGTGTCTTCGGCGTGACGAGCGAACGCTTTAACCACTAGGCTACCCCACCGCCCCTGTAGAATTCTGACTATATCATGAGTATGTGTTTGTTTGACACTGAATTCACCAATATTACATTTTTACGATGCGGTCTGGAAACAAGTCTGGACCAAAACAATCCAGTGATTGGCACCATGAGTTATCAAACAGTAATGATAACAGGTGAGCGGACCACCAAGAGTGGTTTAATTTGAAACTAAAAGAGAGTTTGGGTGTCCTGTCCCTCCGATGGTACCCGTTATAAGCATACGTAGACGACAGATTACTTTTTACTATCAATGGCAACACGTCTGTTCGATGTCATTCCAATCACTGGTGAACAGAATACACTCAGATTTTTTTGCGAATACCTGATCTCACTATTTGATAGCAATTCATAAACACATGCTAACGATGAAGTCGACATTTTACCATCTACTCTGCTTTTGGCAGAGATTTCTTGGGGATGTGGTAAAAGGAAATGTTGCTGGTATTTAAATACATGCAGTAGATTTGATACTATAAACTCTGCGATTGTACCATGGACATCGTTGAGGAATGTATCCAGTTTTATTTATACTAAAATTTCATTTTAGAAATTAAATAAATCATATTTTACTATTTTCTAAAGGTCTGACATTCTAATGCTATCAAAAACTCTTTTTCGCTCTTTTATCACACACTTAATCAATTTCAACCGGGAAATTTTTAAACAGAAATCAATTTCAAAATGCGCTATATGACCCTGTGTAACGGAAATTGAATCCTCACGCGTTTAGTGAAAAGGCAACCAAGACTGGATTTGTGTACTGAATAATGCTTTAATGTTGTTTACAACAAACACGCTAACAAGAACCCACTTCAAGTGTTGTCATTACACAACACAAACAGCGCGGACACCTCCCTCATACCATCGCTCAAGGCATTCCTCTTCGTTCTTGTTGTTTTTCCAGCATTCGAACCTATAAGAACGAAAATAAGCTAAGTATATCATCATCAAAGGACCTGATGCTAGTATGTATCCTGTTCTTAATTGTGGTGGAAAATGGCGATGCGAGGAATATGACTCATAACGTTTGTCATTGAGGGATGCCTAGCTGCAACAGTTGTTTATTTACGCACCCGCACAGGCACACGCACTCACACACGCAGACGCATACGCATACATTTGGATAGCTGGACTTTAAAAATCCATCTTTCTTTCTAAAAACAACTGTTCCGCCAAGACAACAAAAATGAGTAATAGTTCTTATTTTGTACAGAGCTGACTTCAGGTTGAGTTCGGACGAATGTTTTTGACACTGTATCTCTTTAACAGTAAAGATCTGTCCGTTATCATTTAGATACATTGCGCACTTCAAGGTTATATTCTGGGTTTTCTTGTTTGCAATGGAATAAAAAGAAATATTAAAAAACAAAGACAATCCTTGTGTGCGAAAAATTTCTGTGAATATTTACGATCGTAAATGAGAGAGTTGGCAATATTCCCACAATATCAAGTCGAGGGAAGACGGTATTTGACATCACACGTTGTACCCAATCCGTGAATCGAAGTCTTGTTTTCGCCGAGACGAGGAAACACTTTAACCATTTCACTACCACACCTCCCTACCAATTGAGAAGCTGTGACTACTTTCACAAACCGAAGTTTGGGCTACTTAACGCTAAGCTCGCTTTGTGCATGTGGACCCTGAATAATATTGTGTAATGACCACTATAAACCATATATTTGCTAATAGGGAGTTTTTAAGAACACTCGGATATGTTTAAAAAAAAATTGTATGATTATGAAAAGCCTCCCATGCCCTCTTATTACTCTTTCATGATACGTGTACATTCAGCTTTCTAGGAACGAGGGTTCCAACTCCCATTAGAGAATCAGGACGCCGAGACTCAGGACGCCGGTATTTAAGATGCCGGACGCAGCAAATGTGGCACGGATACCATTATTTCGATTTTTCGTCTATTTTCTTTCAAGTGACAGATCAAACAAATACTTAGATCTAAGCATTTAAGCTTGCATTGTCTTAATTTCTGCAGGCCACTGGTGTCTGCATAAATTAAGCCATAATCCCCCAATGTAGACATCCACTATCTAGCCGCTCGATTATTTTCTGCCCTTAATAACCACTGACACACTAAACTGACTAACACTTTGACAACTGTTAATAAACGGATCGGCACAACTGACTACAGTATGACATGTGGCGGTGTGCCCTACCTGCAGGTCGCACGGTTGTTCATAGGACAGACGGCACCTTCGTGGCACTCCATGTCAGCTTGACCTACAGCCAGGAAACCTTTTAGAAGAAAGATATGTGTCGATTATGCGGACAAGGTTAGGATTTCAGTTCTGAAATGTTACTACCATAATCTTGGGCGGTGGGGTAGCCTAGTGGTTAAAGCATTCGCACCTTCGTGGCACTCCATGTCAGCCTGACCTACAGCCAGGAAACCTTTTAGAAGAAAGATATGTGTCGATTATGCGGACAAGGTTAGGATTTCAGTTCTGAAATGTTACTACCATAATCTTGGGCGATGGGGTAGCCTAGTGGTTAAAGCATTCGCTCGTCACGCCGAAGGCTCGGGTTCGATTCCCAACATGGATACAATGCTTGAAGCCCATTTCTGGTCTCCTGTTAAAGGCGGCGTAAAACCATACTCACTCACTCACTCACTACGACCATAATCTGGTACTGGAATAGAGAAGAGAGACTAAGAGAGAAGGGGTTGGAGAAGGGAGGAAAGGTAAAGAATAAGTTACAAGTGAGCAAGGGGAGAGAAGGGGGAAACTTTGGTGTTATTTTCCCCGTTATTCTAATATTCCGTGAGTTTTCATCGTCACAAGTTGACACTACACCCAGACAGGCAGAGAAGCTCAATTATGTCTTAAAACAGATTTTGTCAAGCTTCTTGTCCACAATAGCTCACACTGATCTCTCTGAAACATGGACGAGCCCCGCATGTAAACTTCGCCGGTCTAAACATTCTGTCATATCACGACATTTTCCATATATTTGGTCCATACATGTCTAGGAAATGTTCACCGGGCATTGATAAGATCACGTAAACCTCGTCGATCCCAGAAATGTCAATATTCAAAACATGTTTATGACAGCCAGACCCAAAGTTGACTTTCTCGACAAGGAGTCGTGCAGCGGGCATTTACATCGTCAGATAAACACATTTCTTCTCACCCATGTCATACACTCGTGGTGAACACGTCTCAAACAACGAGGACGTTCTCATAGTATAAAGGATTCTAGAGACTTAGCGTGTCATGAAAAAGAAAATAATACACCATGAAAACAATAAAAATTTCATACTTACAGACAACGAGGAGACACAAAACTGCAGCCTTCATTTCGTAAGTGTCATAAGTTGAAACAGACAAGTTGTAAGATAGTTCGGCCTCTGTGATGCTTATATACACAACCGGATGTTCATATGTAAACTTCAGCCTCAGTGTCAAGGATGTTATCGGATATGTGTCTTCCAAGGTCTTCTCAAAACGGCGTATAGTGTTTTTCTTGATAAACGTTTGCAATTTTATTGTATTCTTTATTACGGGTCAGCACCTTGCGATACATATCATTTTTCGAAGGTATGTAGATCCTGTTTCGTGGAACTTAGCATTTAATATATGTGTGTTAATTTTAGTGTTTGCTTGAAATTTAAACTTTCTGGCTTTTGATACCACCCCCTGCGAATGTCAAGTTGGTCATGGTGTGTGTTTCACTGTCATTATCGTATACTCACATTAGGTCATGGATATACGACCGATTTTGGCAGCATATGACACACTAATTGCAGTCATCGCAGGAGTCTTTATTTAAACAATAATTTACGTTATAAATTGTATTTTAAGGATTGGTGGAGTATCATATAATTCGATACAATGAAACATATATCACGAAATAAATACGATAAACGATGTCAATAAATGTTTATAACATCTACTCAAAGCCGAAATTATTGGTTTCCTCTGTGAAACTACTTCAAAGTACAAAGCAGTTGTTTGATTTGTTTGTTTTTTTGTACGTTGCTTAACGCCACACTCAGTAATATTCAAGCTATATGGCGTCTGTCTGTCAATTATTAAATCTGGACCAGAGAATCCAGGGATAAACAACAACGGCTCTATTGGCATTGGTAAGTTTAGAATACTTTTTAGAATATCCCATTTTCTTTGGTGTTCTCATAATGAATTTGCCTCAAATGCATTATACAACAAAACAATTTACAAATGAAAACAATACCATTTGACAAAAAATGAAATTATTTCTTATTTTCGTGTTACCTCCAAGAAATGCTCAAACTCTACCTTGAATTACATATGAAGTCCTTGTCCAGGAAGAATGTCAAATATTTGTATCGCAAACCCACATAATGAAGGAGCCGTGTCAATACAATGTACTTGTTGACATGAGTTGTTTACACGTACAATGAGTTTGTCTTGAGGAGCGGACAGGTATTTCAAATATCTCATCCTTCAGCGTCAAGGCTTGGCAAAGTGTGAAAGTGACCTAACAAATTCCTTTTGCCTTGTGTGCGTTTCTAAATTACGGAAACGGCTGTGTTTCCCAAGCCTTCGATCCGTCCATTCACTATCGGTCTATAGCGGTATCAGATTAAGGCTTTCTTGAGTTTATTTGTCGTATTTTCGTGGTCGTTTAGGCCTTGAATTTTCACCCGCTTTATGTACATGCATTAAAGTACTATAGTATCGTCCCACGTTATTGCAAGTGGAAATCCAAGAGCGTCTACATCTATCAATTTACGTTGCTGATTAACTTAAAACTAATATCTGGGCAAAATTAGCACCAAACCCACTATCATTAGATCCTGGTACAAACAAGGGACGCAAGTTTTCACATATGTACAGACATCTGCTACGTTGTGCCATCTGCTTTCCTCGTTATAATAAAAGTAATGCTCTGACCAAAATAATTATATCAACCTAATTACAATCTTGGGTTTATCGTAAGGGAGGTGTTAAATGCTCATATTGTGTCCCACTGGATTATGATCCCACATTACAATGCTCAGTGAGGTCACCATGGAAACCATGCCGTTGTGTGTATTGTTCAGCATTACCCCTGTGTGAATCGTCGGAGTAGTTTATGGAAACCGTGGGTTAGATTGTTGACTTTGTGTGTTGGCGATTGGGAGCCTGAGAGTGTGGGTTCGAATCCCGGTTGGGATTAAACCTAACAAAAGTATTATAATCTGTATTTTACTGAAAACGTGTATTATAACATATGTTATGTAGTTAATGGCATCAAGATTATAATCAATGTTACTATCATCAACCTGTGCTTTAAACTAACGTGTTGCTGAGGATGTTTTTACATTTGGTACTATTGTATCCAGTTAAGGTAAATGCTGTTTGCATATCATGTAGAAATCAGCATGATCCCCAGCGAGACCAGTGCTGGTTCCTGGTGGCTTAGCGCCCATGTTTCAGACTGTTGTAAATAATATTGCTATACTAGAATATGCACATATACAAATTTGCTTTGAAATATGACGCATTTGTGATTCACTTGTGCGCTATACTATACGCGTGAAGATCCGGCTGAGAATTGGTCTTCAGCAACCCATGACTGTATTAAGAGGCGACCAACGCTGACGTGGTTGATGCATATCGTCGTATCGTAATTTCTTAGATAGATGCTAACGATCTCAATCACTGGCTTATCTGGCCCAGACCCGATCAGATAGAGAGGAAAATGCTGAGTGCGTCAAGACACAAACCCAACTTCCCTGCGTATTGAATACATGCTAACCGGTGTGGTGAACTCATTGTGATTTAGAATTGTGCAAATATTACTTACTTGCAATTACAGAGGCACAGACAAAATCATTGCATGTCTTCATAACACACTGTCGATAACGGACATTGTAGCAGAGCATAACACAGTATAGACATCTACTGCCTGGAAAGAGGCTTTTAAACATTCTAGTGTGTTTTGCTAGGCTGTGCTTATCACTGGCAGCGATGACTGTCCATGAAGCGTGCTTATATTCAAATATATTGTTTGCACGTTTTTATACAGATTCGCTACTTAAATTTGTGGTCACACTATATGGCATACACCCACAATAAAATAATGCTCGAGTGTGGTTAAAATGTACATTTGAAAGTTTAGTGTCATAAGCCTGACTTTGGGATGATCGCTACATCTTAAAACATACTCTAAGAGTCTCTTAGTCCAGATCTTTATGAGACTTGGGTTTTAACAGCATACCGTTATTATAGCTTAATATATATACAGATATAATAATGGCACGCTGTTAAAACCGTGAATGTGTGTGTGTGTGTGTGTGTGTGTGTGTGTGTGTGTGTGTATGTGTGTGTAGATACATTTTGCACAAATAGTTAGAGCTCTTAATGTTAAAATACCTCTAATATTATTAGTCAGCTGCTTGTATTAGATTGAGAATATTCTGATGTGAACTAAAAGTCTGTTAGAAACTGCGAATGGCACTGGTAGAACTAACACTTGTGTTGTAAATATTGACAAGTCCAAAAAGGGGTACAGTAAGGGACACATGTACTTATTATCAGAGATCTCTGATATTCTCTCGATTAGACTATTGCAACAGTTTGCTCTATGGAATCACCAATCAACAGATCAGACGTCTGCAGCACATCCAAAACTATGCTGCCAGATTAGTCACTCGGACGAGCATAAAGGCACACATCACACCAGTGCTAAACTCACTTCACTGGTTCCGCATTCCTAAGCAAATCATTTTCAAAATACTCTCACTCACTTACCAAGCTGTCCATGGTACTGGACCTGCCTATTTGAGTGATCTGACTGTCCCATACCTCCCTTCAAGAACTCTGCGCTCTAGTCAACAACAGCTCCTTCGGGTGCCTGTCACCAAACTTAAAACGTTCGGCTCCAGATCCTTCTCTGTCTCAGCCGCTACTCTGTGGAACTCTCTACCCGAATACCTGAAGTTGATTCCATCTCTAGGATCTTTTAAATCCAGTCTTAAAACCCACCTTTTCAAGCACTATGCCTAAAAGAATCCCCACACAAATCATACCATTGTGTAGAATTCAACTGCCTCTGTTTCAATCGTTTGAGGCAATGCGCTTTGAGCATACCTTCATGGCGTGGATATAGCGCAATATAAGTGCCATTATTATTAACGTTTAAAGTATAGCTTTTTTAGCTTTTTAGTATGAAATTTGTATATGTCATGCTTTGCTTGACATTTATGTAATACATTGATACATTGATGTAAAACATACTACTAACTGAAAGGTCTCTTGAAATGAAAGATAGTTTATGTGTTCATAGGTAGCAAGCTATATAGTGAGTGAATTGTCTGATGATCCAGGGTTAGAATTGATCTTCAGTAACCCATGCTTGGCGACTAACGGTATCGGGTGGTCAGGCTCGCTGACCTGGTTGACACGTGTCATCGTATCCCAGTTACGCAGATCGATGCTCATGCTGTTGATAACCGGATTGTCTGGCCCAGATTCGATTATTTAGCTGAAATATTGCTGAGTGCGGCGTAAAACAACAAACCAAACAAACCAAAACGTGTATTTCTCTATTGTCTGTGTAACTCACTCCCTTACTTTTACGTCGCCTTGAGTAATGTTCTACTGATATCACAAAAATGACCTTATTACGTTACCAATATTGGGAATGGAACCCTGACCGTCGTTGCATGTATGTTGACAAACACTGATTCACGGCAAACAAACATTACTGAAAAAACTGCTTTGCGGGAAGGACTTTTATTCAACTTTGTAATCACCTTGCAATGTGTCATGTTAGTTTCTTAAGTGTATTTATTTCAATGCGCAGAAGACCCTTTGTTCATCTTCATACCATCTCTCAAGACATTCAGAGCCGCCATTGCCATCATCCCAGCATTCCAGGCTGTTGAAGGAAATTTTCATCAGTAACCTTTGATTTAATTATCAAGTACCTGATTCAAATAACATTTACACAACGTATGCTATGTTGACGACATGAAAAGCCTGAATTACGTCCCTTCAGTTCCCAGGTCTTGTATGAGAGAACAACCGTTTCACTTGCGTGATAAGGTAATACTTAGTGTATAAATCTTCACAAAAACATATACATATAATAAGTAACACGTATTAAATTAGAAAGCAAAATATCATTTCAGCAACAGCGCAAACACTGCTATTTGAACATGATTGCACCGTTATAATTATTGACCTTACATGAAATAACAAGACTATGTCTGCCGAAGAGCTAGAGACGAGCAAGAGAGGTAAACATGCGACAGTCAACACACTACCACCTTGACTCCCAACGCCCAGAGCAGTCACCAGACCCTCCTTACTTTAGTCGATTAAAATGGAAAACTTGGCATAAGTTCAGGATTTTCGGCAAGCTGACTGACATTTCTACACATAAATACTTCGTGAAATCAACGCTGTGTGAAAAACGAAATTGAAATAAAACCATTGGTTACATCATTTCATATAGGACGTTCAATTTGCTTTGATCTGTGTAACGGAAGCACATGGAACTGAGGGAAGTGCAAAGAGGTATAACAAATTAGAAGCATAGGATACTCAGCTGTATGCTCAATATGGGCAATAATTATACTCAATAGCTGTGAATAAATGTTGATTAACACTGCAATTTACAGATATTAGTTGATGCATAGTACAGAAATGAAATACTTGGGATTCATTCAGATCCGGTATCTCCACCGGGAATTCAACAATGAAGCTACTTTATGCTGTGTATTAAGGTATAACATTGGTAGCAGGTGCGCAACGACCTGGGACAACAGGGCACGTTGACATACCGTCATCAGACCCTCACCTCCTCTTGCTCAGAAGTTGTTTGATCAAGGTTACAACATTCAAGGCCTCAGAAAAGCTTTCAAGAAATTTCTATATTCGTTGCATCAGTGACAAAAATGATGTCCGAAGCAATTCCCTATTTTTGACTTATACCATATGTTCCCGAAGTATCTCAGGTGAGCAAATGACTAAACTTAACAAATGTTTATGACGGGTGCCACCGATGGGGCAGGATGCGCTCACATTGGCATTATCACTCTTTCATAGTGATTCATAAACACATGCTCTGCCTTTGTACGGCATGGTGACAATCACTGGATTGTTTGGTTCAGACCCGATTTATTTACAAACAACATCATACAGCTGTAATACTGCTGAAACAAATATCTGTCCATGATATAGTCACAATTGTACAATCGAATCTGCTTTTGGCAGAGATTTCTTATGAATGTGGAAAGGGTTTTGTCGCTTCTATTTAGTTGGTTTAAACGAAAAGTACGGACCAAGTTTGGCATTAGTTCTGTCCTGGTGTCATCATGTGATTCACCCAGGAAAACACGTTATGTTCTGCATTGAGGTAAAACATTGTCAGCATGCATACAAATTTGGTTTTCTTCTACACTTCCGCTCAGTCGCGGTATGGCGTAACAATATTTATATCAGTGACTGTATACTATCCCCACGAGGCCCTCGTGAAACCAGTAGACGATAAGTGTTAATGTCAAATAATGAATAATACATCATTGAACCATCCCACAGATTCAAATTCTTGCATGCTCGTGTAAAATGTTCGACTAGGGGAGCCTTCGCTCTACCCGTTAGGCCTTTTGACATCCTCTTCCTTTTACATGAAAGTCAAATGATAAACCTAAATGTCGTCAACTATTAAGTAGCACTTTTACCAATATTCCTTGTAATTATTGCACGTTGTTGCATCATTTCCTTTTACTACTCCTACCTTTAGTTTTGAGGAAGGCTATTTGAAATCTCCGCTGAACAGAATCTCGAAACGATAAAACCTTAATATGGGAGGAGGAGGTTAAAATGGCGACTGTTACTTGCTTTCCAATAATTCATTCTATCTGTTTGATCAAAGAGCAGTTCAAAAGTGTAGGGATACTATGCCTATTTGTTAAAAATACGACAGTTGTTAATATTATGAACAACTACCAAGACAAATTTTGTCTGTGCTTTTTCTATCGGAAGTATTTTCATGTTTATTTCTTTAATAGGCCAACGGCCAACATGACAAATACATCATACATACTTTCAAATGCGCATTGCCAACATTTGCCTCCCCTCCCAACCCAACCCAACCCACTTGCAAAGACCTTTCGTGACAGAAGATAACACTAACAAGGAAATAAACATTCATGGATAATTTAGATTATAGTTTTGCTTTACCTAAAATATATGATAAACAAATTTGGCTAAGTTGAAGGTTAATATTTCAACTTTAGTTTGTAAAAGACTTATAAACTTCATCATGTTTGGAGACTTGTATACGTCCAGAGGTAGGTAGCGACGTCTAAATGTCAAGTACTTAGGACAAACCATGATAACATGATATTCATCCTCTATGTCATTTTTGCAAAAAAAACATAATCGTTTTTTCATGGAACAGTTGCTACCAGAAGACAATAACACGAATAACACAACATTAATTGTTCCTGACAATCAACCTAACGATTCGAACAACGTGGATATATTCAGCTGTATTGCCTTCAAGTGACACTCAGCTGATATAGAAGGGGATGGTGTAGATATATGGAAGGGGGAAGGCCATAATAGTGATCTAGCAAATGGCTGGAGGCGAGGTGATTGTAAAGGGTTACCTGCAAACGGCGTTGGTATGAAGCTGGCAGATGGAGTCTGGGTCACAAGCGGATCTGGTTGTGACCACCGGCTCTAGTGTTAGGGCAATGCCCAACACGCCTGCGAAAAACAGAAAACAAACCATATAAATGTGTCAATATTTATCCTTACTAAACCATTTATTAAGGCAGTTCACATACTTTTGACATTACTTTCGATCTGGTCCCTTTGTCACTGTATGTTAAATGATGAATAATTCATCAATACTTAGATGAGAAAATTTGGATACTTACAAGCAATGACGAGACAAAGAAAAAGCCCTTTCATATTGCTGACAGCACACTGTTGAAAACAGACATAGATGCTGAATACAATACGGTATATATACCTTACTTCTGAAGAGGTTATAAAGATAAAGAGCGGTATTAAGATGAGCTGTAAACCTTGTTCACCAATCCCAATTCATTCTATTGAATAAAAATATGTTTAAACCAAGATAAAAAGTCGTTTAAATGTACAAGTGTGTTGTGCCAGCCGCGCCTATCTCAGCTATCGATGACTGTCAAGTATTGCGTGCTTATTCTTTGATATACTGTTTACATTTTGGACATAATTTTAATCGGATTCACTTGAGATGTTTTTATTACGAAGCCTTATACTTTGTGGTCACTATAAATGACATTGACCTGCAATAAGTACTTTTTGAGTGCCGGCAGAACAATTAATGTCCTTCATAATTTTACTACTTCAAGTCTTGTGTAAATGCTTAAAAGTTTTGTGTCACAAAACTTACGTGAAAATGATCATGAACACCAGATCCAACATTTTTAAGGCCCTTTTGTATCAGTCCTCATTTTTCTGAAGGTGTATAACCCACCAGTGACGAGGTAGCTCTGACTTGGTATTTCCATGTACATGTGTATATGGGTCAATACCCATCTCCCGTCTTATCTGAGTTCAGTATTTTGTTATTCGATCAATCATCGGGCATTTAATTGAGCATACACAACCACAGATGCATGAGCTGTTAATATAACCACTCATTGGCTAGGTATGTTGATGTGCCTGTGTACTGATGTAACAAGATCATTTTCAAAGTGGAACTGAGAATATCGACATTGTTAAGCGCCCTGGGAACCAGCAACGATAAGTACATCGTGCGTTTTGCTTACACACAGTGCATCAAGAAGAAACACGGAAGATAACACCCCCAACAGCAGTATATTTTCAGTTTTGTAGCTGAAGAATTTAGAGGACGTGATAATTCAACAATGGCCCTGGAGTTATGAGTTTCAACTTTATGGAGTTTCTAAATCAAACAGTTCAGTTCCAGACCTTTGATCCAATAATCTGAGTATTTTCTCAATCACGAGATGTAGGTACTGGACAGTTTCAGACACTTGAATACGCTAAGGTAGATGTCATAATGCCATTGATCTGGGTGTAAGGACGTAGAGGCTCTATCACAGCTATTCAACGATATATAATAGTGTGGGACAGGCCAATGATTGATATTTTGAGCAATGATCCATGCTGCTGATTGGGATCAAAATAAAGCAATTCCCTATGTTGACTTGCAGTATGTAAACAGTATATAGTAGTAGTAAGTGCTCCGGATATACAGTCGACTCTGCTGTTTCTACTTTATGAATCCAGAAACAGTTTTGGCGATTGCATATGCAACTTCCTCCAAAACGACGAAAATTGAATGCTAATCGCAATTTCAAATCAAAAGCAGCTAAATCTGCACTGGTATACCTAGGACGTATTTGAAATTGTAAATAACTACACTTAGCAGGAGTTTGCTGAGCATCGTCAGGACTTATATGATGTATTTTTACTTTCTTATACCAATTGTAATTGGTGGGTTCTACCGACAGGACAGGCGACGCCTTTTGGCCAACACTGAATATCAGTGGCCCATTCATATAATTAAATTAATCATTAAAATGTTACTTCAAAAGATGGAAATAAAAATAATATATAATTTTCACCATTTCCATTTATTTCCAAAGGAATCTTTTTCGTAGGATAATTAAGAGTGGTAGACCCTCTCTGGAGACTGTCGCATAAAAAATAACTTTAATCTCGCTGAATTTGAAGGTTAAATGTCTTGGCTAGTTTGAGGTTGTTTATAGCTATGAATGTACACGTATCGATTTAATGAAAATGCTTTGAAGGGAAGAAATTGCAGGAGACACTTCGTTCTGTCTACGTCAGACGTTGTAGGAGCTTGTCTGATACAGCGCGACACATACTATTTTCTTGCAGAAAAAAACAGCACGGTATTACACAATAAAACGAATATTGACTTGACAGTTTTCTGTACACCACAACGCACATAATGATTAAAGTGACAATTTTGTGTTTGGGTTTGCTATTTTTGTACAGCAGTGTCATTACTGCAGAAGAAATAAATTTGATGTGTTTCGTTTTGTAATGAAGTTCCGCCATGATGGTCTCGCATAAAAAAAGTAGATCGAGCCATGGAAACGAAATAGGCTGCCTTTCAAATTACGTATTGGTTTAAGGATTATCGTTATGCAGAAAAATGTTTTCACATTGTCTCTGATTATACTCCTAGGAAGAAAACTTTCGCTTGGTTAACTTTATAGCAATGAAAAAATATTGAATTTAGATAAACTTAACATCCTCACAAACATTCCTTATTATTTTTTGGGAAACGTTTTCATCTCACCGACAGTCCTTTCCTGTGATCAGCAGAGCGTACATCCTTATGGGGAAATGATGAAAACCTAATTCTAAGTTATACGATCCGTGATGAGGAGGGCGTGTCATTTTGGTCTCATTCATTTCTCCTAATGGCTTCACTGTTCCGCTGATGGTTTTCGATCGTTATAGTGCAAGACCTATAATTATGTAATGATATGCTATGAAGGACCGTTAGCTCCACAGATTACATGCTAGTTGGTTGAGTTCATTTATTCATTTAAAGTCGTGATGAGCAGGAAAAGGTTTAGTTACAGTGCACTCTCCTTTGCTATTAATCATTTTCTGCAACTCATTGATTACGAATATCGAGTTTTGCAATCAATATATATAACGATTCAAGCTGATCCTACTCCTTATATAGTTACATTTTGTATTATTCTCAAAAGAACCCACCAACGGTGACATGAGAAAAGTACAATATGTATACTTCATACACAAACCCCACGATATACAATGGAACACCTTCATTCATCTCGTACAACCTTCGCCGAAGACCCGGGTTCGAATCCCCACATGGGTACAATGTGTGAAGCCCATTTCTGGTGTCCCCGCCGTGATGTTGCTGGAATATTGCTAAAAGCGGCGTAAAACCAAACTCAGTCAGTCAGTCATACATCCTTCGCTGTGCTGAACTACCAGTGAAGGTCCGGTTTAGAATTCAACTTCAACAGCCAATGGTCATCGTAATCTCGAGGCGACGAAGGGGATTGGATGGTCATGCTTGGTTGATGAACGTGATGTCAGACCGTCGTCACAAGCGATTTATTTGCGTGCCGCGTTAAACAACAAACAAACCATTTATAAAATGAAGGAGGCAATATTTGTCTTTTTTTCTGGTGCAGCATTTAACAAGTTTGCATTGAGTCATAATTGGTGGAAGCAATTGACTAAGCAAAAATGCGTTTCATCCAGATAATGTTCATCATTAGATGGTGCGATATCATTGAGGCATTTTGTGCTTCACAGAATATGATCTTAATGGATGTGCACAGAGTACAATTCATTGCCTATCAAACTCATGACTAAACAATTATCCTGAAACAGAATTCGCTTAAGTGCTACACATCTGGCAAATAAGCCTTCATAAGGAGTATGAAGATGTACAACCTTGGGCGAGCATGCAATGTTTGTTTGATAAAATTTCTCAATCGTTCGTAAAATCCTAATACAAAGTGAAACAAAGGCAGCACGGCATCAAACGTGTCATCTTAAAATTGATTTTGAGATACAGTTGCCAGTCGATGCTATATGCATGTCTTGTGCATTTAATTACATGCGCTGCTTTTTGCTCTTTTTCCTACGCGTATGCTTTATACATACACGTATGGAAATATATGTACATGGGTAGATATTATAAAGAAATAATAAATTAAATGTTTTTAATCGAAGGGCCTTCAACTACAGGAAACGCAGTGAATATAGAATGTCAGCACCAGAGAATAGTCTCGATGTACATAGGAAGCATTATATAGTACATAAAGACGCACAGCGATGAAAGTTATAAATGGATGACTCCAAATCAGTGATGACACCAGGTGTTCCCATTGGCGTAGGTTTACATCTAAATTAACAAATAAATGAATTATCACATCGTCAAAATTTCACCACAGTTTCAGATTCGGGCTGGTCCACGTTTTCTCAAGTAGTCATATCAGTGACGAGCATGATACCCGTTTCAGCTGACCATATAGACTTGTGCTATATGTTTTGCTATATGTTTCAAAGGTATTTTTGTCAGGTGTACAAATGGCCTGCCCTTGACCATGTCTTGGGTGAGAGGCGTTTTATACAACATTATGATCAATATGGGAGGACTCACACAAACAAATGTCAACACTAAGAATGATAAGAGGTTGTTTCATTATCGTTATGCCGTTATCAACAATTTGAACTATTTATAGCACAACTGTATTTATCACTGAGTGAATAACGGCTCGCGCTGTATACGTTGGCATACAAGCGACAAAACCCTTTCACATTCGTAGGAAATCGCTGCCGGGGGAGAGAAGATTTTACGATTCGATCAAAGGTACCTATTTATAACCACTACCAAATAGTGAGGACACAGGTGTTGACGAAAAGGTGTCATATTTCGGGGAACATATCAACAATGTTATTTATATAAGATGTCTTGTAACCGTATATTCATATTAATGAGGGGCGGTTGGGTAGCCTAGTGGTTAAAGCGTTGGCTACTCACGCCGAACACCCGGGTTCGAGTCCCCACAGTGGGTACAGTGTGTTAGAGTATTGCTAAAAGCGGCGTAAAACTAAACTCACAATGGGTACAATGTGATGGAATATTGCTAAAAGCGGCGTAAAACTAAACTCACACGCTGATATTAATGACTGTACAGCCTTCTTCCTTGTGTAAATATTAACACAAAATTCTGAGCCCATCAGCTGATAATTCAATCACACTCAGTAATGCATCCATATATGAAAGGTAATGACATTTCTGCAACCACAAGCCATCAACCGATCACCTAAATGACCGCAACCTATGTCTGCCATACATGACATATGACATTTAAACAAGTCATTATGTCCTCATGTTGACACCCAACAGACTTAACAAGGTCAACATAATATTTGACCAGCATTTATCTAATTCCAGTGATACTTCCAACGAAGT